TCTCCTACATTGCTGCTGGGAGTGCAAACTGGTCCAATCATTGTGGAAAGCTGTCTGGAGGCTCCTCAGTCTACTAACAATGGAGCTACCATACGATCCGGCAATTCCACTCCTAGGGATCTATCCAAAGGACACAAAAACAGTGATTCAAAAGAGCACCTCTACACCTATGTTTACTGCAGCACTATTTACAATAGGTAAAACCTGGAAACAACCCAAATGCCCAAAAATAGATGACTGGATCAAGATGTGGTATATATACACAGTGGAATATTATTCAGCAATCAAAAAAGATAAACTCATGTCATTCGCAGCAACAGGGATGGAGCTAGAAGAAATTATGCTCAGTGAAATAAGCCAGAAGGAAAAAGAAAAATATCAGATGGTTTCACTTATAACAGGAATATAGGGGAACCAAATAAGACATCGGTGTAAAAAAAGTAGTAACAACAGTACAAAACACAACAAAGCAAAAACAGACAATTATAAAACAGAGAAATATTGTAGGGGAGGAGGAGGGAGAGGGGTGAGAGGGATGGAAGGAGGAGCACAGGGGACTGTGGTGATGGTGCATGGGTGCCTTGGGGAAGGAGATTCTATGGGGACTCAATCTGAGGGGGTGGGGGGAAGCAAATATTGTCTAAAAAAATGTAAAAAATGATAAATGTTATAATAAAAAAGATGAAAAAAAATTGAACCAGAGCAAAGCAAGTGCTATAGAGAACACGGTAGAGGAAGACGGTTCTGGGAGGACCTGACTGAAGACCTGCATCCAGTACTCTGTCTCACCCAGTGACTGGCAGAATGAGGGCTGTGAGGCATTCAGCCTAACAAGTGCCCCTTGGGCCAATGGAGAGTCACACTACAAGCAGAAATAGCTCAAGAGTACTTGTGTATGAAGCACTTCTAAAATTAAGAGGTTGATAGCTGTCTTTTATTTATGCAGTTATTTTAATTGATAGTAAAAATTATTCTCACAAATTGCAGTGAAAAAATGAATGAAAAGAAAGGATTTCAAAATGGTTTAAAATATTTCAACACTTCTACAACTTCAATGATGGAAAATTAAATATGAAGTAAACATACTCAATTACATACCACAAGCAGTTAAGAAAAATAAAATCTGAAACCAATTACCATTTATTTCTGAGTATATTTAGTTTGCTTGATAAATTCTGTGATTCCTGAAGATCATTATTTTATTTTTATCCCTCATGCCTAGCAAATTCAAGTGCAAAGTAGGTATTTAATGAATTACAATGAATAAGCAAATGCATACACACAGCTATGAGTAGTCTAGAAAACAGGAGTCAAGAAATAGTATGTGGTAGGCCTTAGTGCCCTTAAGAATGAAATAAGTGCTACAAAGAATGGAAAGAACTATATACTTTTTACATACTGACAATGTGTTTTGCTCATTATAAACCAGGAGTCTTACTATCAATTTATAGGCAGGAAGAACAATTAATCGTAACGAAACTGTAACTACCTTTTGTAAGATTTTCTGATGGGTATCAACCTCAAATCAGTATGTTATCCCATGTCATCACTTCAGGGTACCCTGGGGCATCTAATTCATACTGGTAGGATGTTAAAAAACCCTACAGTTTAAAGCTACATGAGGAAATACTGCAAATGCTTTGACCATTTTCAGCCAGAATACCTTTGGCCTAAGTGTTTCTAAAACTGCTCTATAGGAAAATCTTGGCTTTGTCTACATTTATCCCTGTAATGCATTTCTATGCTTTAGAGGTGCAGACTTTTCACTGGACTTAGAATACCTAGGTGCTGTAAGATCAGTCTCCCAGAAATTGTTCAGATAGGCTTTTTCCAAGATGCCCAGTGTAAGCTTTTTCCAACATGCTGTCTTGGTCTATGGCAACTAAGGCTGATTGAGGTCCTGCAGGTCTCCAGTGAAACTGTGATCATTACCTTAAAGAATGAAGATAACGCAGATTTAGGGTCATCTCCATAATTTTTTTTATTGGAGAAACCCATCTTAAGGCAGGGCAAACATGCAGAGGCAAGATTCTGTCACATTAGGTCATCCCTTCCTTGTCATGTGAGCTCCCCCCATCTCCTCTCTCCTCAACACCCCAAGGTCCTGATCTCATTCTTCAGGGTTTAGGATATAAACCCTCAGTTTGTGCAATTCACTACAGAATTTACAACCATGTAAGTTCTCCAGAGATATGAAATTAAATTTGGCCTTTCTCTCCTCCTTATCTAATATTAGTTTGTTTGGGGCCTCCCCTGGTGGCGCAGTGGTTGAGCGCTGGGCTGCGGAGCTGCCCACAGCCTCTGCAGCGCTGGTTCGATCCCCGGCCACCGGCAAGGGTCCCACATGGTGCGCAGACCTCTCCTGCCATGTGCTGCTCCCCTCAGCAGTGTATTTCGTCACTCTGCCTGCTCTGCTCCCTGCTCTGGCTCTGGTGAATTCTCTCACTCTCCCGTGCTTCTGACTGTACCCAGTGCTTGTATGAATAAATAAATAAATAAATCTTAAAAAAAAAAAATATTTGTTTGCTTGACCAGCCAGAAAAGAACCCAGAAGGGTGTAGGAATTTTCCCCTGCATCCCTAAAGTACCTCAGTTCTATAATGGAGTAACATTACATTACAGTATTAAATTCTTCTGACATTTCCCCCAACAAAAAGGACATTGCCGATGGATCATTACCTGAATCTTGTTTTGTTACCCAGAGAAGACAAAATGTTTGTTTTTCTTTAGAAAATATGGTCCAAAGGATAAGTTTTTCATCTATTCCTTTGCAAATGAGTTCTATTCTTGGACTGAATTAGGCCAATGGAAGTTAACTTCCTTAAGCCATAAAACTAACTATGTAAGACCTCTCTGGTGGCGCAGGAGGCTGAGCTTCACACTGTGAAGCTGTCCACAGCATCTGCAGCGCTGGTTTGATCCCAGCTGGCTGGGCAGAAACCTACTTGGTGCAGCAGACCTCTCCTGTCTCGCCCACTGCTCCCCTCAGCAGTGTATTCTGTCAGTCTGCCTGTTCTGTTTCCTGCTCTGTCTGGTGAATCCTCTCACCCGCCACCTGCCCTGTGTCCCCTCTCCCCCGCACATCTGGCCTGTACCCTGGTTCTTGTATAAATAAATCTTTAAAAAAAACAACAACAACAAAAAATTAACTCTTCAAAGGGACATCCTCAGTGTCTCAATATTGTTGTGTTAATTTTTTCAAAGGTCTCTGGTATTTTGTTTTTCAATGAAAAAAAAGAAAAATTATCACTGTTCATTATATTGATCAATTTCCCAAGTATAAAATTAATCTAATGAGGGCCTCCCCAGTGGTGCAGTGGGTTGAGTGTAGTACTGTGAAGCTGTCCACGGAATGCAGCACGGGTTCGATTCCTGGCTGACCAGGGAGACACCCACAAGGTGCAGCAGACCTCTCCTGTCTCACCTGCTGCTCTCCTCAGCAGCGCTTTCGGTTGTCTGCCTGTTCTGCTCTCCCCTCTGTCTCTGGTGAATTCTTTCACCCTCTGTGCCTCTGGGCCTATACCCCAATTCTTGTATAAATAAAATAAAAAATAAATCTTTTTTTTTTTTTTAAATTAATCTACTGAGACATCTGCTTTGGAATTTGAAATTAGAAAAATTTTCCTGTCCCCAAGGAACATCTTTGTATCTTTTCTTTCCTTTTTTTTTTTGACTCAGAAACCCTATTTCTTTTCTTCTCTTTCTAATGAGATTTATCAGCTTTTGGCTTTAGCCTTGGCTGTCCAGAAGCTAAGAGTTGTTTTAATGTCTAATCACAGCAAAAATAGTAGTCTCCTTATTGTTGGCTTTTTTTGTTTTCTCTTTTACAATCATGTCAAAAACCTCAGTTTCATTTACCATTTTACTTATCTTCTTATACTCTGCCTTCTTTCTGGGTTCTCAAATTCTTTTGAATATGCATCGGAGTATAAGCAACACTCAAAAATAAAGATCTACATAGTCATCTTATTTTTAGCAGAACTAGAGAAACTGCTCAAAGTTCATAGAAATTAAATGCATGATGCCTTCTGTATGCATTACTTCCTTTATCCCCCAGAAATGCATAAATACTTTTCAAAGGAATGGTTACTATTTTTTTTTTAAACAAATTTCAGTAGGCATATAAACTAGCTCATTCTACATAGTGCTTTAAAAAGAAACCATCCCCCAGTATTGATATTGCTGCACACTGTGATACTATATTTAAGCCCATTTTGGCTGGGAAGGTATGTTTTTGTTTGAGTTCTGTGAACAGGACCAACAGCAAGTTTTTTTTTTAAATCTCTTCAAATAGAACTTTAAGTATTTTTTTTAAATCATACAATGATCTAATGGTGACACAAATTAAATAAAGGGTGGTGCATCCACTCAATGATTATTATGTAGCCTTTTAATATGCAGACATGAACTCGTGGTTAGTGACATGAAAAACTGGATATATTGTTTTATCAAGAAGTGTGTTCACCTTATTAAAGATACTGATTTTGTGATTATATAGAAAAATAACCTCATTTTTTAAAAAAACACAAGTTGGAATTACATTAAAAGTGTTAAGATGTCCAATTTACTTTTAAAAGCTTCCACACATACTAATACATAGATTATGGATATACATATACACACACACAAAGCAAAATATCACCTACTTTAGAAGTCTATTGATGTTTACTATTGTTGTATTTGGTATTTTATATGTTCAAAATTTTCATAACAAATATTTTGTATCATTATCCTATTTTTTAAGGGAAATATGCACAAAAATATTCATAAACTCCTCTGGAAAGCTAAGCTACAATTATCCAGATATGGGCTTACATAGTTTGTTTCATACTTTACTCTGTTTTTGAATTTTGTGCAATCAGCATGCTTGTCACTTTTATATTCAGAAAAAAGCTATCCCAAAAATCTTTCAATTTAGAACACATCACAATATTCTTAAAATAAATAGCATACAATGTTACCAGGCTTATCACCTAGAGCCAGATGTTTTCTTCTCTCACCTGTGATGAAGACCTCGGAGCTTACAACTTTCAGTGAGCATCATTGTCACCTGAATTTCAGAAGCTTGGTCTATATATATATTAAAAAAAAAAAAAGTATTTTGAATGGTAGTACTATAGGTAATATTTTCTGCTATTAGTAAATAATTATTTCAGACTATAATGTAAATTTTTATTGAAAGTTACAGGTAAATCTAAATAGGTATAGCCTAAAATTTTATTGCACTAGACAGTCTTACCACTGAAAATGCCAAAAACTATTAATGAAAAATTTGACAACATAAATATTAGAAGTTAAATAAGAATTCGCAAACAAGTAGAAAAAGTAATAACAAACTGGAAAAATATCAGCAACACATAGGCATATAAAGGGCTAATTTCCTTTTGTATTTTTAAAGCATTTTTTACTTATTTTATTTTTTTATTGAGGTAATGTTAATTTACATCACTGTATGATTTTAGGGGTATAATTTCTTTTTTTAAATCTCCCTTCTTTAGATAGTTCACACAAATCAATAAGAAAAAAATTTTAAAGAGGCAAAGGATGCATAAAAATAGTTGGCTGACAAAAGAAACACAAATGATAAACAAAACTATAAAATGATTTTCAGCTTTACTCCCAAGTACAGAAATGGAAATTAAACTAGAAGATGCATATTCCCTATCAGATTGGAAAACACAAAAATCTGTCCTACCTGTAAGTTTGGGCAAGCGTAAGCAAACAGGCTCATTGATAGGGTAGGTGTGGAAAGCACATCTCACAGAATTTTAAAATGCATATAACACTTTTTTCATAAATCCTAAAAGACTTCTCTACAATATATACAATATATCACAAAAGATGATCTGTATATATCAGGAATATAGTTCCACAGTAACAACAAAAAGAAAACTTCAAAGCCATCATTGTTCCCATCAGCAGTGAATTACTTGAGTTAGCATATCAGAATACTATGCAGCTACTTTTAAAAACTAAAATTTAAGTCTTATAAGTAATGACAGAAGATGATCTCCAAGGTAAATTTTGGAAGCAAGGTGCCAAACTGTGTTTTGGTGATCAGTTACATTTTTTAACAAGCTTATCTGAAAATTTTCATACATACATTTGGGTAATTTTTTTTTTTCTTACTCATAGAGAGAACATAAGAAATTTTTTTTGGTGATACTTTCAGAGATGTGAGAATTTACATTCTTACCTCTCTGCAGTTAAAATCAAAAATAAAATATAATTAGGAAAGATGTAATTCTGCAATAGCTAAAATTAATAACATTATCCCAATTTACTTTTGACTTTTAAACTCATGGTCTTTGGTCCAGAGTTAAAAAAAAAAAGAGAACTAAAATTGGCTTTTGTCCAATGATTTTAAAACAAAAACATAACACAATTTATCAATATCTTTAGTTTGCAACCTCCAAAATAACTTTTAAGCCATCAAATATCTGAACAAATCTACAAGGATTGCTCATGTTGCAGGGCCCAGTCTCTTAATTGTATATTCTACACTATGTAAAAAGAACATTGGCATTAAATGAAGCATATTTTTATTTAAGAAATCCTGAAAATAGTTTTTTTTAATAATTTTTAGATATCACAAACAAAATAAGAGTATAGTGTATCCTTAAAAACACTTCCACAGAATAACTAATCTGTATGTCAATAGTAAGAACAGTAATAATTTATAAAGCTTACAATCAATGAGCTAAGAGAAAGAAGACAACTGGCAAAGCCAAGATTCACACCTCTGCTTGCCCCACTAAGTAAAGTGCTGAGCCAGTGATAAAATCCAGAATTCTGGCACAATGATGGCATGTCATATTCACTCATTAAAGGTTGTGCTGTCACAGTTGAGAAATTGCAAATTTCATTTTCCTAGTTTAATTAGTGGTAACACTCCTGCCCTGCTACCTGCTACTGTTCCCTTTTGAGGCAGTTTCACTTAGTTAAGACTTTCATAAGAATGTAAAAAATGGGTGGACAAAAAGTCAAGAACTTCAAACATTTGATACTTTTTTGGAAACGGTTCCTCACAACAACATCTGTTGGAATAAACTATCTAAACACACTTAAAAATTAGGATTATTTAGTAAATGAGACTAATTTCTAATAATTCAGAAATTATTTTTAATGAAATTATGGCCAGGACTAACTGGGGGTTGTAGGATGTTTTAAGGATTAAAAACCAGTAATAGTTGAGAGTCTGCATCCACTTAGTAAGAGTTTATCTTACTGTCAACTGACATGGAGACCCGGGAAAAACAAAAGATAATTTCAGGATGTATCATTTTACACCTAAATTTTTTAAAGTTCTTATCTATGATAAGCATATTCTATAAACAAAGGATACTTGAAATGGATGATAATGATAAGAAAATGCTGAAATGGGAAAAAAAAATAGTATCCATTTAGTAAGATACTAAACCAATTTTCCTGGATTCCTTCCCTAGTATAGCCCTAGTCTTTTACTTTTCAATACTGAGAGGTCTATCTTCAAGATATATACATTTAAAAAGAATACTATAAAGTAATTTATACTCAAAAATTACAAGAATGAACAAAAAGATTAAAAAATTTATTCCAAAATTGCAAAAAATTAGCAGGTATAAAAGAAGAATTTCATACCAATAACAAACTAATTCATTTATTTTATGGAATTCAATTACACAATATTCATGCTGTGAAATTCAGATTCTAACTTCAATCTCTGAAAATATATACTGGAATATCCATAAAGTCTATGCAAAATTAAGAATTTTTGAAGATGCTAAACTAATTTCCTACATATGCCTAAAAGCAGAAGGCCAATGATCTTTGAGAAATTTTTTGCATTTTCAACTACACTTCTAAATTGTCTAGCATGTAACAAGGCATGTAGTTTTGTGAGATTCTGTCAGCTCTATGAAGCTTTAATTAAAAAAAAAAAATCCAAAAGAATAAATCTCAGAGATACCCAATCACATGGAATTCTCTCTTTTAACAATTTTGAGGTAAGGGCTGTGGTCAATGCACTTCCTCTCAGTTTCCCATGCAAATCATGACAATACCTTGGCTAAGGACTCGCTGTGCTTTTTCTGGTTTCCGTCTAGCTCATGTGGTAAGGCAGAGGAACAACCAAGTGACTACAATTCAAGTGTATATGGAAAAAGAAAGCTTATCTTGTAAAACAAACCCAGTATCCGCATTGTGTTTACTTATCACTTCTATTTCCATTTCTCCCCCATCCAACCTTACATCACCCTACTCTGTACAGAAACCTCTAGTTAATTCAATATTTATTCAGAACTAATTAATAAAAGCATAGCTCTAAATTGTCCATAGAATATTTACAAATATTTATGAATCCTAAAAGAAACAGGAGCAGGTAATGTTTCTTTTGAAAAAAAGGAGTGTAACAAGAGGCAGTAGTTATTACATTTATAAGAATAAAAGTGTAAAATATTCATTAAAGCTAGTTAGAAAACCTAGTCAGAGTTAACTTAAATATTAACCTTTGGAAGTATTTTGGAGGCTAGAAGAAGTAAGTGAAAAAAATAATGAAAAATATAAAAAGTTAAATCATTTCTTCAGAAAAAATAAAAGGGCTGTGCGTTTCTGCAGCATTCTTCAACAAGCAATTTTGCTAAATTCAAAGCAATCAAATTCCAAAGATTTTTTTTTGCTGGATTGATATAACTCAAGTTTTTAGAAATAATAAAGATAAACCCTTCATACTTTGCAAGAATTCCTTTCAGTAAATTTAGAAACATAAGTTCTATAAACTAAATTTATAATAAACCTCATAAGACTGTCACCTCCTACTCATAAAAGTGAATTAAATTTTTCCCTCAATTTCTACTTTCAAAACACTAAATATTTTTCCAAAATTAATATCTTATCATCCCAACCTACAGCAGATACTGTTAGACATTAACATCCTATAAATACATTTTTCTTTCTCTTAAAAGGCACAAATAATAGACTTAAGATTATTTAAATTTTTACAGACATCAGTTAAGAAATAATTAAAAGTCTAGTATTTCAAAAGTTCTTATAATTTATTAGCATTAGGGAATAAGCTATACATAATATTATAGTGTATTTTGATAGGAACCTCTAATTGAAAAATATGTATAAATCGATAAATGAAAAAATTAGGCATCACATTTCAATAGGTGGCCCAAAGCACAGTATGTGAAAATGGGTATTCTGTTCATGAAAACATTAACTACCTTTAAGAGAAAAATCTGGAAATATCTAACAAATTTTAAATATAATCAACTGTTCGGCCAGCAACTCCAACTATGAATATACCTGAAAAACTACATTAAGAAATATTTTTCTGCAACAATAAATATAATAGCCAAAAAGGGGGGGGGGTTGAAGGAAGACAAACAGTTGCTTGAGTAATGTCAGCCTAGGGGTAACTGTTTTTGTCTACAATGAGGGGATACTAACAACAATGCTTTTTAAGAGAGAAAAAGATAGTGCCAAAAAATTTTAGCCTAGGATAAAGATAGTAATAGATACAGCAACAATAAAGTCAAGTGGATATAGTTTAACCAAAAGCCTAAGTAATTTCTAATAAATGTTTATGTCTTGATTTATTAGACTGTATCCAATACCTAATGAGGTCAACCCAAATCTTCTAAAAAAGCCTCAGGTGGACTGATTTAAAGGTCTGGCACACACTGAGAATCTATGCCACATTAGACAGGGTAGCACTGTGGAAACAGTATAGAAAATACCCTACCTTTAACTGTTTTTACAAATGCCTGCTTTTCTTTATTTGGATCTTTTTCATCTACTAAAATCCCATGGAAAATACGGCCGAAAGTACCTAAAAAAAAAAATAATATTTAATGAGATCATGTGAAAACCTTCATAAAATTATAACTACCAAACTTTCTGGCACAATCTAACTTAAGCATAACAAGGGTATATGTGATAAACAACATGACTCTAGCCCTGGCAATGAAATTCTTTGTCTTTTAATGACTAGTTGAAGTTCTTTGTGACTATTAAATAATCCTAACTTGCTTTTAAACTAAGTATATGTGAGTTCTTCTGAATTATCCTAAATAAATTAATGATATAGTCAGGAGCACTGGGGCTTAGTAATGGGTATCCATAGAGACATTTGTGAGTTTCTAGGCGTAGGTCAAGAAAAAGACAAAGGAAAAAACTGAACTCTCCCACCCTGCTGCTACAAAGCTTTAAAATGTAGCTTAAAAAGAAAGCCAAGAAGTACAAGTCTTAGATTCAGATAGTCCTAGGTTCCAATCCTGGCTCTATCAATCACTACTTAAATGGCCTCAGACAACTGCCTAGCCTCTCAGGTAAATGGTAAAATGTGTTCCTAAAAAGCTTTGTAGTAAGAAGAAAAGTTATAACCTTATTGGGGTGATAGGAGTGGTTAAACGTGAATTATGAAAAGCATACATATATAATTTTGCAATTGCTATTAAAAAATCTCTAATAGAGGGCCTGCCGGGTGGCACAGTGGTTGAGCGCTTGGTTGCGAAGCTGCCCGTAGCCTCTGCAGCGCTGGTTTGATCCCCGGCCGCCTGGCAAGGGTCCCACATGGCGTGCAGACCTCTGCTGTCGCCCGCTGCTCCCCTCAGCAGTGTACTTCGTTCGGTCCTTCTGCCTGTTCTGCTCCCTGCTCTGTTCTCTGCTCTGGCTCTGGTGAATTCTCTCACCCTCCTGTGCTTCTGACTGTACCCAGTGCTTGTAAATAAATAAATCTTAAAAAAAAAAAAATCTCTAATACAATGTTCATTGAAAATCAATCACAGCTTTCTCTCACTAGAAACTTTTACTTTCCTTCCTTCACATTTTAAAAAATATGTTTGCAAACAGTTTTACTTTGCTGCAGATACCTTGCATATGAAGATGCGTGCTCTAATGTCTTTCCCTCTATGACTTAGAGTTATTGGTGCCTGCCTAGTAGGATTCAGAGGTCTACGAAACAGTGTAACTTCAATGCTTGAGGCAGAAAAAACTTTTGGATAATCTTTATTTAAGACACTTTGCTTAGAACTGAGTAAATATTTTCAAACACTGTAGCTAATACATAGCCAGAACTATATACCTTGACCCCTTTGATACCCGAAGTTTACCTTGCTTACACTTTCACTCTCTACCAGAGTAGGACTGTAACAACTTCTACCCTGTCTTCCTAGTACCTATTCCCACTTATAAAAAGCATTCCTAAACATATACTTAAAATCCATTATGAATGTAGGGAATATATACAAAAGAACATCTGTGTGTGTGTGTGTGTGTGTGTGTATAACCTTACAAAAAGGTTACTATAATTGATAGTCCTATCAGCAATGTATAAGAGAGCTTGTTCCCCCATTCCATCTGTCAGCCTGGATGTTATCTATCATTTCAAATTTTGCCAACCTGACAGATGAAAAATGATATGCAACTATTGTTGTATTTGACCTCTTTTTTATTGTTAATTAGCCACTGTGTTTTCTTTTATGAATTTAAAAATAAGCTATAAAATAGCTTATTATTTATTATTTTTATAATAAAAGGAAAGCAAAGATGAGCAAGCCAGGAAGGGAAAGGGTATTATTTTGTACTAAACACCTATTACGTGTTAGTTCACTGAATATATACCATTTCATCTAATCTTCATAACTACTTTAAGAGTTGATACAGTTCAAATTTATGGAAGAGGAAACTGACATGGAAGACATTAGGTGATTTCTCGAAGGTCTCATAGGTAAAAAACGGGAGTGGAACTTGAGTATAACTCCAAAACCCATGCACTTCTTCTGCTAGATCCCTCATACTATCTGTCAGATAAAAAACAATTTAGAATACTTTAAAGAGGCCTGCCAGGATGTGATCATCTTTAAACAAGAACTACAACAGAAAAACATACTTTAAAGATAACAAACACTAAAATATATGCTTTCATATACTTGAAAATCAAGAATGCACCAAAGCTGCATTAAGGTAAATAAAAGATTTAAAGAAAGAGAACATGAAAATCAGATTAACAAGTGCTTTCTATCATTAGACACAAAGTGAGATGGAATTCATAGAATTTGAAACAGAAAGATTTTAATGCTAACATTAAATCTTCCCTGAAAAATTGATTTTGAGATCAATACCTTCTTGAAGTACATCTTTTAGAGTTATCCTCTCCCTTGATATTGCTATATCCTTCACCTTGGCTTTTGCTTCCAAAAGGGTGACACTTCTCAGGTCATTCTTCTCTATCCTCAAGGTGGGATAACCTGAGGAGCCAACATAGCCAAACCAAGAAATATAAATACCCTTAATATAGCCTCAGGGTAGTCAACTAGTTCAGGTAGTGCCTCAGGACTAAAGTAACAGGAATTAATAAGTATAAGAATCATAAAAGGAAAAGGTATATACATGCGCAGAAAGGATTGCTTATGAAAATCAATTTAAAGAAATATTTTTTAATCTACTACAAAATCTTAAAAAGCAGAATTAAAACAAGAAATACTTAAAAATAATACTATCATCTCAATTGTCTTTCAATCAAATGAAACAAGCTTTGATTGATAGAATTTAATTTTTTTTATTGGCTGTTTTTCTTCCAAAAGATTTTCTAATATAGTCTCCTAACAAAAGAACTTTTTAAATGAGAACCTAATCAATCAATGTGATTATCACTAAGTCAAGACTGGACTTGTGAACCCACTGTTTATCCTAACGATTATATTATTATTTGTATGGTTAATGATTCCAAATTATTTTAGACATAATTTATATACTAATTTATTATATACACAATTTATATACATAATAATACTCCAAGAATATTTTCTCCCCAAGTATCTACAAATTACAGTGCAAAAACTTTCATAAAATCCTATTTTAAAAGAGGAAACCAGATCCCATTCTCTTAAATCTCATGGCAGCTAGCTTCCTATTATGGTAGAAAACAATGTAAAAGTCTTACCATGGTCCATAAGAACATCAAACAACTCATTAAATCCAAAGCTTCTGTTTTCATGCACCTCAGTGGCTTACTCTAATTACCAGAAAATCTTCCTTCTGAATCTTTATAAAAGTTGATTCGGTAGCCCTCTCAACAGTTAATCTATGGAAATCTCCCCAAATCAAATCTAATTCTAGCAATTAAGCTTTAATTTTATTTTTAATACTCTGACTTTAGACTATTTCATTCAATATCCTAGAAAGCAAAATTTGAAGGTTAAGGTTAATTTATTACATGTTAGGCACAATGTACATAGAACAGTACACACATCTCCCAAGTAATGAGCCACAGAATAGTACTGATAGACCATACAACTTTGGTAAATCATCTTTAGAATTAAATTAACTCTTACTGGTGATAGGAGTTGCATTGTTGGGTGTGTCAGCTCTCAGATACTGAGTCGTCTGTGTAGAAGGCTGAGACAGCCCTTGGGAACTACTGCTGGCACTGATGCTGCAAACAATTTTTAAGAGAAAATAACTGGCAAGTCAGCTTAAATGAGAAATTTCCTTTTCCATACATATAAAATGCACATAGCTATATAATCAGTCTAAAATTTTGAAGGAGATCATAACAATGCATGAATCTTTATCACAAATGTTCTGTATTGAAATTTTAAACTACCTTATAATGTATAACTCTTTTTACTTTCTATCTCCACTATCTAGCAGGTTCATTTTATCAAAGTCATTAAAGAAAGTACTAGTCCTCAGAAGTCACAGAAAGCAGTCCTGAATCTCACACAATGATATACTAGGGAATTATAAGGATCATCTCTTAGAAAAAGAGCCAGTGCAATTCAACTAGATTGTTTTTAAGAAAAGGTACAGACAGGATTCTGTTCATGATGGTCTAAAATCAAGTGGCCTGCAGATGAGGAAATAATAAAGCAAAGCAAAAGTGTTGATATGCTTAAAGCTTGGAAAGGCATATCCTATCTCATTCAAGTTCGTTTAATCACATACATTTGGCTTCTTTTAATTTCCCTAATCCTATCTACAGAATTTATGAAACTTATCATAAACCTCTAGTACTTGAAACATGATACCATATTCTTTTAATAATACTGGAGACCCAGAAGATGGAAGGTTCATGTAACTTCTAACTCTACATTTGAGATTACTGCAAATCAATGCCTCACAAATGTGTACTTTTGCCTTTTCAGGCAACAGCCTTATTCCACGTCACCCTTGAGCACAATCCAGTCCCACTGCCTCTACTCCTATAAATGTGCAGCAGTAGAAAATGAAGTACAGAAATTCAGCAGGAAGAGTGAAATCACACAGCAGAATGTCAACCTTCCATGTTTCCCTTAGCAGGATTAGCAGAACCCAATCAGAGTTCCTGACTTTCTTAAACATTCAAAGTCTTTTAACTGACCACTTCCCACACAATAGGTCTGTATTTTCAAAACCCAATGATTAAAAAAAAAAATACAGAATGAAAAAAAGCTGCTATTCAAGAGCTGAACTGTATGAATTTATACAAGCAGTGGGTATGGGGGGAAAAACAGTGAAGAGATGAAGAACATAAACCATGAAATCAAAACTGCCAGCACTGCTTTTTATCAGCTGTACGATCTAGGGCAAACAAAATATTCTGGAGCCTCAAATTCCACAAGGATTTTAAGGAACATAATACTTGCTCCTGACAAGGCTGCTACAAGAATTAAATGAAAAATATATAGGCAAGGCATTCGGAACAGTGCCTGGCATTCAAACATATATTCACAAATTATTATTACTAATTATTTTTATTACTAACATTATGTTTTCCCAATCCTTAGATTATAAAGGAACCATGGGGTATCTGTTTTTGCAGTTCTCAAATATCAGTCTAGAAGTCAAAGTTGTTAAAAGTCCGTGATTCAGTAATGAGAAGGAAAAACAAGCATTACCATCCCCAAAGAGGTGGAGGGAAAAACTTCAGTTTACTTACTTAAAAAGGGACTAAGAAAATTTGCTTCCCCAGATTTCTGAGAGGTTCAAATTATATAAAAAATGTGAAAGTCCTACTTAAACATTGCCTGCATCACTGCAAGTTGAAAAAATGTACAACCTCAAATTAATCACTAGAAAATTGTGCTGATCTCCATTACATGAACAATAGGTGGCACTGCAGTACCACTTCAGAAAAGACACTGGGCATATAAAGATGTAATGAGTATGAACACGTCAATTTTTCATTCGTTCAACAGATATTTGGGAGAGGGCCTGTATAATAAGTGAAGCACTATATTAAGTGTTTAGAACAATCTTCTTTGAAACCAGGTTTACTATTATGAGAAAAGCAGGGAGTTGTAGGAGATCTACCCTTGACACCAAGTAAAGTCAATTTTTATCTAGCTACATCACAGGAAGTGGAAAATTAGACAAAATGTACATTTACTAGCACTTACTAGTTTAAAAACAATCTAAATAAATCACCTCATTTGACTTTCATAAGCAAGTAAGAATAGTCAGGGAGATATTAACATTATTTTAGAGTCAAAGTTAGAATTTGGGCAAAGGTCATTTTCCTTCGGAGAGCACTTATTCTGTTTTTATGTGTAACTCATTTATTTATTCATTCAAAAAATATTTATTTAGTTGTCTACTACTTGCCAGGTACTATGCTGAGGACACAGCAGTAAGCCTAACAGAAAAAGATCCTCCCCTTTTGAACCAACATTCCAGTGGGAACTTCTTGTTTAATACTGGCCTCATCCACAAACACTATAAACCTGTTTGTTTATAGGAAAAGTACCTGTTTGTTCACTCCTCCCACCTAGCACATAAGTCAGTGCCTGGCACAACAGGCCCCAAGCGAGTCCAATGATGCCTCAGTAAGGGCTCAATTAACACTTACTGAATTAATCAATCAATGAACTGAGAAAACCACACCTCTAGGAATAGAAAGACATAAACCAGGAGACTGGTCACTTCTGACATTAGCTACTGATATATATATTCAAAGACACAAAGAATTATTGGTGTTGCAAATATTTTTGCCTCTCTCTACTCATTCTTCATGCAACATTCACTCAAGAGACACCTATTAGGCACTAACTACAGAAAGCAAATATGAGAAATAAAGGAGACTTTGTCACCAGTAATGGGAAGGGTGGCTGGGTAGAAGAGATAATGAAAACTGATTATATTGGCAAATAACAAATTAAAGTACACCATAAAAGAGGAACGAACTTTCCTACAACCATAAACTACAATAGGGACAGGCTCTACAGTATGGATCAACCCCTTTGTGGAAAGAGTTACGTGTGAATGTGAGAAAAAGCTTTGCCTCTCCGGGATAAGCTCATCCAGAATAACAGAGACTGAAAATCAGATGAATTTATATTGTCAGGAGCAGGAAAGCTACAGACTGGCTCCACTGCGCTGGTATGAATAAATCTCAGGTAGTTTTATTCTCTGCCATTTAAGATGCTCTATTAATAAAAGGACTCTGACTCCTAAGTGCCTGGATCTCTCTATCCTTAGTCTATCACTACTAGCATTACTACAACCTGCTGGAGGAAAAAAAAAACATAATAATGGCATATACTATACAGCAGGACTTTGTTCTAAGAATTTACAGTATTTTCTCATTAAACCTTACAACACTCCTACTAAGTACATGCCATTATTATCTCTGCTTTATAGCAGAGAAAACTTACTCTATCTAGACCATAAAGCTAATGGCCAGAACTCAAAGAGAAGTGCTGTGGCTTCAGAGTCCATGCTCTCAATCAGTAGACTATGCTCTGAAAATACATATTATAAAATGTTGCTTTAATTCAGAGAGTATCTGGAAGCCTTCACTAGAAAACTAAAGGACATCAATTCCTTTTTAGATGGTATTAGATGATTTTAGTAGGCATAGGTATATATGTCCCATGGACTCTAGGTTCTTACGCAACTCCGGCCTTTGTAGGTTCACAGCCCTAGCACACAAACAAGCATTAAAGAAAAATGCAACCCTATATGCATATCAAGACTGACTTCTAAATGCCATGCTTTTCAGTGAACCCTCTAACTCTACTTGTATCCTCTCTCAAGTCCTATCAAAATGTTCCTGTTAACTTCATTTTCCATTCAGTAATTTCCAAGTGCCACATATTCCCCTATAAGAAATCGAAATTTAATTTCACCACCACCAACTACAGAAAACATATTCTGAAGCACATTACCCTGTATTTCTCATTCATTCTTACTCCCTTTTCTTTCTATACTCAGGTAAAGTAAGTAAAACAGTGGAGACAGAAAGCACTTAGGGTCAGGTATTAAATGCAACCAAGCTCCCTTCCCCTTGTGGTTTTTGTTTATGCCACAAATATGTAAACCCATTGTATGAAAGACACTGCACTAGGACTGAGGATTCAGTCACTAACAAAATATACTGCTCCCTAATTGGATAAAGGTTACTTTTTAGTAGATGACAAAAAAGTATTATAGAAGGAAAAAGGATAATAACTGCTGCCAAAAAGAAAGAAAGGCAATGCTAGAAAAGCAGAGAGCCCTGTGGGCAGAAGGAAAACATGAAGAAATGTGCTAAAGGGCAAGGTGTAAGGTAAAAGTAAGGACTAAGTAATCAATTGGCTGGAAAACAAGTAAGGATATGCTGAGAAAGAAAGATTCAGAGAGTATGGGCGATACATCGCCATATAAAGGAAGGGACTGAAAGCCAAGTCATGAAGCAGAGAATGTCTTTAATCAGCAACTGGGAATCACTGAGGAGGGAAACAAGAATTGTTGGGAAAAGAAACCTGTCTACTACTCTGATCTTTCCCTCTTTCTCTATCCTGGCTACAATGTTCTCCCTGCCATCTCTGACTCATCCAGGCTGGGACAAGCACCTTTTGCATTCCCACACTATACTACACATATCACCATCATCAAATTTATAAACTTTTATAATTATGGGTTAGTGGCAAAGATTAAATACTTGAAGCCATGAGGTATATCATTAACATTTTTATTCCCAGCATTTAGCATAATATCTAACCCAGTATAACTCAAAGGCTATATATCAGAATCATCCAGGAACCTTTAAGAAAAATACCATGCCCACACACTAGTATACACCAATCACATCAGAATCTCTGGAAGTGGGACCCAAGTACTGATGTTTAAAAAGCTTCCCCAGGATTTCAATGTGCAAGCAGGTTGAGAACCAATGGGTTAAGTCACAGCAGGTTCTCAGTAAATATTTACTGGAAGAATGGCTGGCTAAAAGGCTGGCTGGCTGATTGGATAATGATGGTGGGACAAAAGAGGAGGAAGAAACTGGGTTATGTTTAAAAGGTACTAAGAGTCTAGAGTAGAGTCATATCAAAGGGGTGGGTAAAAAATTAATCTCCATTTCCTTACCACCAACTAGTAAACTGATTTTTGACTTCACAAATTAAAAACAAACAAACAAACAAAAAACAGAGAAACACAATGACAGTAATCACAAAGACAGTAATTTTTCCCTTCGCTTAGACTTAGTTATCCTCCCTCCTTCCCCTCCACCACCAAATGCCAGTGTGCATGGGTGTGTATGAACCCACATCTAAATGCAAGTAACCGCTTTTTTTTTTCTTCCCCAAAATATAAAGAATACCTGTCATCCAGTTCAATCCTTTTCATACTATGAAGGTGCAAAACAGCTAATATTATTGCTACAAGAAATATTACTGCACAGCAAACCCCTACACTGATATAAAACACACGAGTAGAAGTGGTTGGAGCTGCATGTACAGGATCATCTGAAATGAAAATGAAAAACACATTAAGCTTTTTAAATATATATATAAATTGCTTATGACCCAATATACACAATGAGTTTCCTGTTCTTGGTAAAAGATTTTCATTTCATGTGTCCTTTCTTTGATAAAATTAGTCACCAGTAGTGTGATGTAATTTTCACAATTTTTAAAATGTTTTTGTTGTAGCTTGAAAAAAAAAGATTTTAAACAGAACTTCTGGCTAAAAAAGTATAACAGTCATTTGCAAATGGTGTGTCCATACAGTAAACCATCTGTAGAAGTGCTATTCAACAGAACTTCCTGCAGAGATAGAAATGTTCTGCAGGTCGCTAACAAAGCAGCACTAGACCACCTGTGCTATCAAGCACTAGAAAAGTAGCATGAGGAACTGAAGTTTCATTTCACTTTAAGTAATTTAAAGTTCAATTGCCACATGTTTGTAGTAGTTAGTATAGTGCTGATCTATAAATACTTCATATTTCTTCAACAGTGATACATGGAGTAGAGGGTCAGATTACTTTTGTGCCAATGACCACTGACTTACAGGAGAAGGACTATACAAAAGGGACCCACAAGTTAAAAAAACAAACAAACAAAAACTCCATCTTTTTCTCTTCTGAGGTAATAAATTATTTTACTTATCTGTTTTTAAAGAGAAAGGCAAGAAAATAAGGCTCAACTCATTAAATAATATTCAAGTTTTATATCATTCAATATAGAGAAAGTGTCAACAATAGAAGTGACTCAAAAACATAGACACACAGAGGCAAAGACACACATGGTATGAGGAACAGAGAGGAACACAGAAATAGAAGCATTTTCAGGATTCAAGTGGGGTTAGTGAGTGTTCACATCATAATTCCACTTAGTAAAACCTTAGCGCTTTGAGTTTTACCTTAAATTAAATAGTAAATTATTACAAGGAATGACATACATTATCATTCTTGGGAGAAAAAAATGACTCTGCATGCAGTGTAAAGAATGCTGTGTAGGGGGCAAGAGCAGAAAAAAACAAGGAACAATTTTAAAGTTACCACAGCAGTCCAAGAAAGAGACAGCTGTGGCTTAGGCAAGAACCTTATAAAGAAAATGAGAAATTAATGGATTAGGAAGCAAAATCAACAGACCTTTGCTAATAAATGACACTGGTGTAAAGGGCCAAGAGGAATCAAAACTTTGGCTTAAAGAATTAGGTGGACAGGCAGCTCTCCTGCCTACTTGTGACATTTCCCTTTCATTCGTCTAATAAACTTAACCTTTTTGGAGATATATATAAAGAAGTAGGTGGATAATGGTACTTCCTACAAAGATAAGAAGTAGAGAGAATCAAGAGTTTGCTCCGGTGAAGATAAATTTGAAGTACCTAATACAACTTAACAAGGAGAAGTAAATTTGACAGAAATGTAAGTTTAGAGCTCTGGAGATAGGTCAGGACAAAAGTAAAAACTATAGCTTTCAAAAACAGGAAAATAAAATTGCTTTCTAAAACTTAAACCTTGAGTCAACAAACAATAAGTTATAAACAAATTAATACAAAAAGAGAAAATGGCTTCTAAGGCAGCTTGATAGATTTAACTGTAGCATGAAAGAAGGCCACCAGTTACGGAATCTTAGAAAACGTTGATCCCAAAAGCTGATGCTGGCAGTCTCTACCCAGGTTCACTCCAGGACAGAGAAGAGAAAGCCACTCTGCTGAACCCCAAAGCTCCCTGCTCTATTACTTCCAAATTTCCATTCCCCTACTCTGACTTTTCACCTACCACTAGGTCTCAGATGAAATGTCACTATCCTCAAAAAGTTGTCCCTCATGCCTTCACAGACGAGGTTCTGTACTCTGCTCTTCAGGAACTGTGTGCTTGTCCTACCACAGTTGACTTGCTATGTTGTTATCACTGACAACTGCCCTGTCGACCTCCATTACTATATGATAAGCCCTTGAAAGTCGGGTCTGTTTTGCTCAGTTTAATCCTCTGCCTCAATCACACTACCTGGTACATCATAAATTCTCAATAAATGTTGGCTGGATGCATAAGTAGGAAGGGAAGGAGAGAGGGACTGAGGAAGACACAAGCAAGAATATGCATTACTCTATTCTCTTTCTATGAAATAACATCCTACTAGTCTGAAAGAAATGACTAAAATCACAAGAATTTTAAAAGTAAACCTAAGGAGCTGATGTTTTTAAAAATAGCATTTCTACACAGAGATAAATCCAAATGAAATATTCTCAAAAAGCTGACAACATCTCATATTATTTTTCCATCAAAAAACATCTACTTTGAAACATCCTGATACTCTGAACCTCCTGAGGTGATGAAAAAGATAAAATAAGAAAGATACACTACCATGTGAATTATTCTTGCCAAGAGTTGGTCCTAAGTCTAATCAAGTATGAAATCTACCAGTTTCTAGGAGAGACAAAACCATGTCAAATGTCACAAGGATGCAGATTTGGGGAACTCTATGGGATAAATGACTCAATTTCTTTAGCAAATAGGTGTTATTAAAAGGAGGAGAGGTGGTATCTAATTAATATAAAACTCATATCAACCAAATATAGTATACATAGGCTTCATTTAGATCCTGATTTGGGTGGGGGGGAGCAGGAACTATAAAAAGACAATTTTGAGACAATCAGATTAATTTGAACGTAGACAAGCTATAGAAGATGTTAAGAAATTATGTTAATTTTTATAAGTGAAGAGTTGGTTTTTTTTTAAAGATTTATTTATTTATTTTATACAAGAACCGGGGTACAGGCCAGATGTGCGGAAGGGTGAGAGGCTTCACCAGAGACAGAACGGGGAACAGGACAGGCAGACTGACAAAATACACTGCTAAGGGGAGCAGCGGGTGAGATAGGAGAGGTCTGTCATGCCATGTGGGACCCTTACCAGTGGCTGGGGATCAAACCGGTGCTGCAGAGGCTGCGGGCAGCTTTGCAGCCCAGCACTCAACCACTGCCCCACCAGGGGAGGCCCCGTGAACAGTTATTTTAAAGAGAGCCACATTAACCCTTCATGGATGAAAATGCTATGATACTGGGAGGTATATCAAGACACTGCCTTTTGACTCACCTACCCATCCAAGAAAGGAGGGATTCAATGGAACACCACTGACAAAATGCTGATCATTATTCAAGGAGGGTGATGATCACACGGGGGTTCGCTGGAGCACTCCCTTAATTGTTGTGCACTTGAAATACACACAACCCCTATTTTTTTTTAAGTTTACTTTGATGAGGAGAAGCTTAGTAATATTTTAAGATAAGGTTATTAAAAGTATATCAGCAAGAGCAAGAATCAATGATGTACCCATGTCAGAAAAGGAAAAAAGAAGTCATAGTTATACTATCTAAATACAACTATTACCAAAAAATAAACATCTACTTTGAATTTCAGCTTTGTAGGTTCAAATCATGTGGTTTCTTTTAAACTCACATTTCTCACTTGGATCAAATGAGCTAAAGGCTAGGTTCAGGTCACAAATCAGAATTTTCTCAACTTCTCCTAAACTTTATAATATATTTCATGTTCACACTTTAGTAGTGACCATTTGAAATGATGTGCTATAAATTCTTGCAAGATTTTTAGATCATCTGTTATATATGTAAACTTTACCTTCTAAAATTTTAGTATTTTGATAATTTCATATGACTATATAATCTACAAAATATCAGTGAAATAAATAACACAGTGTCATTTATCTTTAGGAAATTACAAGCCTCCAAACTTCATGTAACATGTTCATTTACAATCAGCCTTTTTTCATTAATAGAGAAAGATGAATGCAACACTTACAAATAGTTCTGCTAGTGTTTTTGTCCAAGGGTGAAGTTTTTACTTCTTCAAGCTCTGAAGTAAAAAGGAGATAAAAGATACTTTAGAAATTCTTTTCCAAGAAAACCCTCAAATACTGTAATTGCATTTTCTTAATTTTGTGATCTATCAGAATGCTGCCTGAATAAGTAACAAGATACTTGCTGCAAGAAAATAAATGCTGCATTACTATCAGATAATCATCAATCAACCTTCTATGGCCAGCACTGGCCTAAGTGTGTAGCTTTTAGATGCTCATTGAAAAAGTGTTTCAGTGGTCAAGTTTCAGTGGTTTGGGAAAAGTCACATACTATAACCTCTGTGGAGACTCACAGTGCCCCATGCACAGTGCCACTAGCACACGGTGCACAGGCTCTAGGGAGGGCCAGAGTAACAAAATTTGTCTGATCCAGTAGTCCCCACCCTCATATGATAAAGAACCTTTCTTGCCAATTAATATCCATTAACATTCAACAGCACAGATAAATTTTCTGTGCTATGTTTTAAAATGTAATAGAGTGAAAAATCAAATACACAAATACATGAAAACATATGAATTCATGACTAGAGAAGTAGGACCACCAAATAAAGAGGAGGGTACTATATTACACTTATGTCTACAATGGAATAGAAAACTGCACCAAAAGAGAATTTAAAGTTAATTTTCATATATGTGTTAAAGAAAATGGGGACAATATGGAATCTTCCTAAATATCTGTTAATCCTTAACCTTAGTGGATATTAGCATTGGTGGGCTCCACAACCAATTTTTTGGCCAACATTCTGCCTCTAAGCATTAACAGATGAGGGGATGTGGTACGGTCATTGCACACCTCCCTAGAGATCAGGAACTGGAGGTTTCACACTACTCACTGACCAGCTATGCTGGGTAGGTGGCCACGCCAGGGTCAATCATAAAAGAATTACATTAAAGCAGAGGGTCTCTTAAGTCTACTTTAATGTTAAAATTACATGAAAGTAGGTATACAACTAAATACATGAAAACTCAAAAACATATCACAACTTGAAAGCTAAGAGGTATTCATTTTTCATTTAAAAAATGTTCATTCTAATGTAGTACGGCTTTTTGATTGGAAAATATCTGAACATTAGTCATTATAACTCACTTCAGGTCTCAGTACAAACTTCGATTAGTATGTTAAAAATTTAACAAGGCAGCTAAGAGCATGGGTTGCATCCCAACTGTACCACTTGACTTTCTGACCTTGGCAAGTTGGTTAGATTCTCTCAACCTCAGCTTCCTCTTTAGAAAATGGAGATATGGAGAGAACCTCCTCCCTAGGGTTGCCCTAAAGATCAAATGGGTTTAATGCATGTAAAACACTTGGAATACAAGCTTACACGTTTTCTTTTCATTCCTAGTTCAGACACTAACCAGCTCTACCTACATGACCTTATAAAGTCAGTCACTTTACCTGTTGAATTTAAAGTTAAGTGGGTTGGACTCAACCTTTAAGGAGAACACTAACATTCTTTGATCTATAATCTAGACCTCTCTTATATTCAGTGCAATTTCTTGAATTGGATTTTTCAAAACCAAAAATGATTAATTTTTATTAAGTATTCACTTATGGTGAGTACTCAGGTTAGATTCAATTGGTGTATATAAAGAAAAATCTCTAAGTCTCTGAAACAGATCATGCTCATTCTACAGGTAAAAATACTGAGATTTAGGTTAAGAAACTTGTTCCAATGTCCTGGCAAGGGCAGAGCTGTGATTCTGACCCAGGTTTATAGGTCAGGTTTATGGGCTCATGGATACCGCTGCATAGGGGTAGCTTTATAAGGGAAACACAGTAACACACAGTTACTCAAGGATTCCCATCAGAATTACCAGATTTCTTTACCTCTTCAGCTGCATCAGCGCTATCTTACATTGCTAATGGGAACTGTCCAAGCAATTTTGATGAAAGATTTCGAGCAAAGAGAGACTGTGTCGTCTGAGTGAGAATTGTGGCTGCAAGCTATCTGATGATTAACTCCAAATTTCATTTGTTAGTGCTCTTTTTTCCTCATTTTGCAACTATATTCAAGACTTGGTGACAAATCAGCTAAAAGATGACAAATCTAATTTTGACATTCTCACATCTATATAAAAACACACATTTTGGTAAATAAATTCCTTACTTTTGTAGCACATTTTCCTTCTTTTAAAATTTAAGACTGTAAAATTTTTTGAAGAATTTACTGTCAAGTTGAGCTGCATAAGTATCATAACCTCAGAATCTACTTTGCCAGTACAGGAAAGTTCGACCCGAAACACTGTTTAAAAAAAAAAAGTAATTACTCATTAAATATCTTAGAATTATTTAATTTTGCTGCATAAAACTAAAAATGCATTTACATAAAATACTAAGCAGGAACTTTCAGAGAGTTTATTGGCAGAATACAGTTTCTTCAGACATTAAGTATTTTACTCATTATTAACACGAAAGTTAGCATTAAAGAATAAACCAAGATATAGAGAGAATTATTCTCAACTTTTGTTCAAGATTTTTAACACATCGCTTTATCTCACTATATTAAATCATAATGCTGTAGAATCATAAGGCAAACACTGCTTACTTTATTAGTCATATCAGCAATAGTTAACAACAAAAATTACTTAATAAAAAGGACATACCATCAAAATGCAATTATGTGTTACTCTGAATTAAAGGATTAAATATAAACCTGTAATGAATCTGATAAATTCTCAATTATGAATTTAAAAAAATAAAAACCTTTCTGAATAGAAACTGGCATTTTATCAATTACTATTGCAATGGAATCACATAATTTTTTGAAATCATTCAGTTTAAGGTTCTTTTCCTACAAACATAGAATAAATCATTCTCCCATCTGCATGAATGAATGAGAAATATGGACCCTTCTAAATACCTTTACTGATCCACGAACCAGCCTTCCTATGTTTTCTTTAAGTGCAATTTTTTTTTTTTTTAAGGTTTACTTATTTATACAAGCACTGGGTACAGTCAGAAACGTGGGAGGGTGAGAGAATCAGAATTCACCAGAGCCAGAGCAGGGAACAGAACAGGCAGACTGATGAAATACACTGCTGAGGGGAGCAGTGAGCACAGCAGGAGAGGTCTGCGTGCCATGTGGGACCCTCGCCGGAGGCCAGGGATCCAGCTGGCGCTGCAGAGGCTGCAGGCAGCTTTGCAGCCCAGCGCTCAACCGCTGAGCCACCAGGGGAGACCCTCTTTAAGTGCAGTTTAATGTATGTCACTATTAACAGTGAACAAGACTACCAGGAAAAGTTCTACACAATGCTGTGGCTCACATTTTCAAAGTTCTAACAATTTGTATTTTCTTAAAATCTCTAATCTTCGAGGGACCTTTCTCAAAAGAAGTTAAATTTGTATAAATTTGATACTTAAATCATTTACTGAGTCACTACTGTGGACCATCAAGTATGAGACACTATGCTAGGCACCAAAAGAACTGAAAAAGATAGCTCCTGTCTGGAAGGTGGCCACAGGCTAGTAGGGAAAAACTGAAACAACGAATTACAAGATAAAATGATCAGCTCAGAAACAGTAAATACATGTTTCTATGGGGCAGGATAAGGGTTAACAGTAAGGAGAGCAGGAGACAGAAGAGGACAGTGCAGGTTTTGAGTCTTCCAGAGTGAGCAGTATGTATGCATTCGTAAGCAGAAAAAAGGGAAAGACAGTATCATGTGCACAGGCAAGGACATCAGAACTGCATACAATGATGCGGCAAGTGCAGGAACAGACAGGTATGCAGGGGCCAAGGTTAAACGCAGTACTAAAGAGTCTGCAGTGCATTCAGTCAATGGGGGTCGGGGCTGATGGGCTTGATGGCGCATGGTCAGGCATTAGTGTGCAATGATAATTATGCCACAGTGTGGGAAATAATGGAACAGGAACAAGACCACACACAGGAACCCATGTAAAGGCCACTGCCAGTCAGCAATGCAAAAAAGGAGAAAAGAAGAACTGAAAAGAGATAATTCTAGAGGATAAGGAAAAGATGGAATGGTTTAAAACATGATGCAAATAATCACTATTTACAAAAATTACTTATCGAAGTACTTAGGTATCTTATGCCTATCAAATAAGACACTACATATCAGTATTTAAACTGTTGTTGGGGAGATGTCAGTAACACAGTTTAAAACTGTATGTTATCTCTGTCTGAGACTCACTCTTACCTGATAAAGTGCGTGGAACTTCCCCTTGGGCAGAAATGTTAACCTGGGGCATGTCCATAGCCACAAAATTGTCTACTTGGAATCCCAACTTATATTCAACCTGTAAAATGGAGAAACAACTGAATCTGTGATAACAGAAAAAAGAACAGCTTGACTTAACTGATTAGCTCATTGACTAATAAATGCCATGAGCCTTTCACATGTGAAAATAATGCAGCTATAAAAAAATCCATTTGTCAGAAACAACCATGGAATTTTCAACTGGATAAAATTTCAACCCAGTAAGCCACTCTCTATTAAATGTCCAGAAAAACCACAAACTCCTGATAAAACCTGTCATCTAGGAGTCAGAAATCTTGCTTAGGGCTACAGAGTCATCGATCAGGAAGACCTGAAAAGAAAGCTATGAAGAGCCAAGAGGTTGAGATGTGTAATTTACACACCAGGACTAGTCACTGATGTCTTCTCCGGTTGATGAGTCAAGCTCTGAATGCCTGCATGTGCTGGTGAATGAAGGTGTATGCTCTACAACCCGCTGACCCCACGAGTGATTTCAAGGCATGAAATCTTCATGGAATATCTAAGACCACATTCTCTTGTCTAACAGTACCCACTAAGAAAGTTCATGTTTGGATACCTATCTAACCTCTGAATCTATTTTTCAAGTGACTCAAAATCTAGAAGAAAGAGAATTAACTAAGAAGACATCCCTGGAACCCAGTACATATCAATACCTGGCCAACACATCATAGCTTCATGGAACCAACAAGCATTAATCAATAAATAAACCCTTGTTCCCAGAGAGGTGTTCATGGGAGAAGCTCAAACTGTAAAGCAATAGCTGAAATTCACAATGGCTTCCACTGTCGAGACCTTGAAGTAATATTTCATGTTACTCTTTGTTCTGTTCATGGGGTCTTGATAAGAATACCCCTCTCCCAAACAAAGCTTTGGTGGAGAGCTAGAAATAGCAAAAGACAGGGGCAATCATTCTTTAAGAAACTTACTAGGACAAATTGGGGGTGGGGGGTAATCCAAAGTTTTTTTTTTTCTTTTTGCAATAGAGATATTCAAATGTGGTTATGTGCTAATGAAAAAGTCAATGAAATAAATGGGACATAATACAGGTGAAAGGAAACAGCAAGAATATCACCCAAACGCTATAGGATATATAAATATTAAACTAAGTATACAAAGAATTTACTTGGTAAGTGCAAATTCACAACAAAGGAAAAGTTCTTGCTGCTTGCTGTGCGAGTGGCTTTGTTGCCTCTGACCATACTGTTGCCTCTGACCATACTGTCACTGCCACCAGGAGGTGCTATAGCACTATATAGCCCAGCAAGTTTGGGCCAAGAATGAGAAACCTTTCCAGAAGCACTCATTGATTAATTTCAAGAGAATGCACAGAATATCCCTATATTCATGCTTTCTCTGAACAGGGCAATACACAAAGACCAAGTGCACAAAAGAAATTCACACAGCAATCACAGAATTTGGAACCAAGAGAACCTATGACCCTTAGGTAAATGATTAACATTTCCAAGTTCAGTTTTGGTAAAATGAGGAAAACACAACACTTTGAGTCAGTGTGACACAGGTCCCTCCTGACAAAAGCAGACCCCAGTGTCAACAGCAGTCACTCCCTACTGCCCCACTGCTCTTCTCCGTAAGCCCCAGCCTACTCAAACCCAGAGACTCTGACATCAGCCTTCCTGTGCTCTGCCAACAACATGCTGCAGTCCTGTCTCCCATCTTGGGACCCACAGTATTCTAAACACCCTCAGTCCCACACCCTTAGCCTCTTCACAAACACCTTTCCCACCTTCTCCCTCAATCTGACTTTCCTCAGAAGTCATCTCTTCCCTCCATCATTCAGTTCCTACAACACCAGAAATAGAATGAGAAAATAGGGTTAGCATTCTTTCAGGGTCATTTAGTCCTCTCTAAACATCTCTTCCTCATGTAATCCCCTCCCTATACGCTGAAGCTCACAACTTCTACTCATTATCTTTCATGCCAGAGGCCTTGGCTCTTGACTGTCTCCTGCCATCTTCCTGATGCCATCTTGATTTTCTGTCATCTTCAAATGTCAGTATTCAGTATTCCTACATACCAAAGAATTGCTTCATAACTCAAATAAATGCAAAAATACCCCTCTATCAAAGATCTCATCATTACCTCAGATTCCTGAAAAACCAGTTCTTTGTCTCCATCATTTTATTCAATTAGCATTTATGAAGCACATTTATAAGCCAAGGGTTGTGCTCATAGCTGAAATGCAACAACCAATTAAGCTATTTCTCTCCTCTCCAGTGCAGTCAGTAATTGGTTTTACTTTCCCATAACCTGTGCACCAAAGAAGAATGCTACTGACAAAAGTCGTATGGACACCCTCAACTATTTCACTCCCACACCCTTAGAGGGCGCCTCCAGCATCCTGGCAGCCCCTCACTCTACTCCTATTGCCCAGCACTGCTGGGACAATGACTGCCCAGGAGAGAAGGGTATTTTCACACAATGATGACACCCCCGGCCCCCCACCCAAGTTCAGTGTAGTTGCTTAATCCTGCTCAGCAACCCCAAACCCTCTCTCCTACTCATCTCACCTCAAACCTCACAGGACCTCACCAATTCACTGTTACCCTTCTGGTTTCCTCATTTTTGGACAGTGTTACTGTCCCTTTTAGCTAGCACAAAGGGAGCCCCTTTCTGCCTTTCTTTTGAGTACCAGGCAAATCTGTTAAGGCATCCATCCTGTATGCTTCGGTCCTGAGGAAGACTTACTCTTATCGTAATGACAAACTCTTCTCCCTTAGTACGCTAGAAGTTTCAGACCACCAGACCACTTCACCACAAATGGGCTCTCATAGCATCAGCTGGTCTTTCTCATACCCCTTTATCTCCAATCTCTCCCACTTAGCTACTTAATAGTCTTACAGCCCTCAATTTGACAGATTCAAAGCCAAACTATTATGTTTCCCCACACTTGTTGTATCCTTTATTCAAGATCTCAGTTATCGTGCAGAGGCACAGTTAATCAGGGGCCAGAGCTCCTAGGAAAGCAGAGGGAAAAAGAATGGTGACTAGGGTCCAAGGTCCCGGTGCAGTGCTAAGGGTGGGAGTCAAGACTAGCACCTGAAGTATCTCAGTGTGACAAAGAGAAGAGGGCAGGAGGAGAAAAATGAACTAGTGAATGCAGATGGATAGAGTGAGGGACATAGGGGGAGGTGACAAAGGCACTGAGCAGTAGGTCTGAGAAGGCAAATTCTTTGACCAGAACAGCAGCCTAGAAGAGTATGAAGGATGAAAGCATGGAAGCTTGCCCTTCGTTGCTTCCCTTTTTGAGAACCCGTTTAAACATCTGAGGCATTCACAAGGCATTTCTCTTCCCTCTCTGAAATCTTTAGATATAAATATTAAAACTGCAGTTTCTGGGGTCAGAGAAGAAATTGCCAATTATTAAAGTTCAATTTTCTCTTCTTTGGCATGTATCAATTTATATGAAATCTCATGTCCCAATAATCCTTTGATGAAACATATCTGTTTTAAAGCTAACATTCACAACCTACTGGAACAAAGGAAATATGAACAGCAGTTATTTATCAGGAAAAAAAAGAATGAGCCAAAATACTTCAGAAAAGAAACTAGAGAAAATATAAATATTTGAGTAAGCTAAAAAATAAACATTTTTGGTAATCTTCCCTTACTTGGAAACAAATGGCAACTACAAATAGATAGCCAATGAGTGAAGCCATTTTCTTCTGGAACAGAGGAGCACTTTAAAGTGAATACACTTCCTACAGTCAAACAGCTTTTAAATTCCTCTGAAATTACCAGAAATTCTGCCTTTCTCATTGAAATCCCACTCTGCTGGGGATACAGCAGGCTGATCCCAATAGCTGCTATAGGAACTCAGTACAAGTTCCCTGCAGACCCTCTTGACAATGATGGAAAGTTCCTGAAACCAGAGAACAGCTATGGGGTGGGGGTGTGGGTGGGTTATTCCAGTCCATTTTTATACAGTTTTGCCTTTCAGTTATCTATTTGTTTAGTGAGACATAACAAATGCAGTTGTATGTTCTTTTTTTCTGGATATCAGAGAATGTTTTAGAGTATTAAAAAAAGCTAGGTCTTCAAATCCAGCAGTCTCTTTTTCTTTTCTTTCTTTCTTTCTTTTTTTTGAGTGTGTGGCCTCATAAAAGAGAAGCAATGCCAGAGTTCTCATCCCATCTGGAAATGCAATTAACTAACGGTATTTACTGACCACTCACCTCACTAGGCAGTGTGACCAAGAACAAGACACTGCTGCAGCCTCTGAGGACACCACAATCTGTTTGGCAGGATGAAACTGTCATGTAAATACTAAAGAACAACATTATTAGCAAAAGCTTTGATGAGTGAAAACTAATGGTGAAATATCTACAATGTGAACAGACATGCCAAGGAGCCTGGAGATCTTTGGAAGCAAATACTTCACCTCTGGCAGAATCTTAAAAAGCCAGAACTGAGAGTTTCTGATCAAGTGTTAGAGTTTGGGCGCCACAGCCCTCCTGAAAAACCATGCTCACATCCCACAATCAACCTGAGTGCCTTGTCTCCTGCCTTTTTGTATGACTTTCCCACTATGAGTCACCGCTGCTTCCTGCTTCCTTGGCTCCTACTACCACATTGATTCCTTTTCCAAATCTGAGACTTTTTTTCTCTCAATAAACTGAAAAATATACCAAACCACTTACTAATATGTGATACCACCACTGAAGGGAAAAGTCCAACTCTACATGCAATGAAGTATAAGCACATGAGATGTTCATTCCATACACACACTCTCTCTAGAAGAGAAGGCAGGTACCAGGTAACAGTGGTTGCCTCAGGGAAGGGGAACTAGGTGCCTGAATTGATAGAGAGTGGTACAAAGATGTAGGGGACTTATTTTTCACCAGACACCCTCTGCCTTTTGAATTTTATACCAAGCACTTATACCGCCAACTCAAATTAAAAAAATTTTTATAAAACTTGCCAAACAGATTGTGGTCCCCTCAGAGGCTGGAGCTGTGTCTAATTTCTGATTAATTTAATGAACTGTGCTAAAATCATCACAGAAATTAAGACCTGAAACTAAGGCTACAATGGTGGCGGAAGCTTGAAACTAGATGATAACACATACTCCTTAGTTTTTTTTACCATAAAACATTTTAAGATATGAGATTATTACTTTAATTCAAATCTGTTACAGATGAATTTGTGAAATGTGGTAAACTCTATATTCAATCTACAGATTCCAATCATTTCTCCAAATTTACAATTTCACTCTATTCAGAGTAAGACAACTGAAAATATCTCACATGGTGAACTAGTATCAAGTGTACCCAGCCTATATCTTCATACTTCTAGAAAGAGGAAATTTGCCACTCCTAAAGTAGCACATTCCAACTGTGAAAAAGTTCTAACTGCTCAAAAGTTCCTGTTGCTTGAGTTGTGCCCTGGGGCTGCTTCCTGTGCATCTCTTCTGTAGTCAGTTAAAGAACACCTATAACTAAGTACAAGGGACATAGAGAAAGATAAAAAGGGACTCCTATTCTTCAGATACTCAGAATCTAGAAGTGGGACAGAAAGGAAAATTAACTTCTACAATACAAAAGCTTATGGTGAGGATGCTGAAGGAATAAAAAGAAGGTACTGTGGATACAGAAAAGGGTACCTGGCACAGCTGCAGGTGACTCCGGGTGTGAGCTTTATGAGATGAGGAGTTAATCAGTAAAGAATGGAGGAGAGGACATTTCTAGTAGCACAAACAGCACAATGGGATAGAGCACAGGGCAATCAAGAAATTGTCAGACATAATGGCACAAAATGATTTAGACAGAAGATAGAAAAGACAGGTAAGGATCAGGTTACAATGGTCTCCTAAGAAATCAGAATTTGACTCTGGTGGAAACCAAGAGCCCTAGGAGAGTATGAATATTAAGATTTATAATAAGAAATATTTGCTCTTCAATCCCATTCCTGGAAAAGAGCTCCTGAAACCCTTGAAATTTCTTAAGTGATGAGATTCATAAAGGTGTCTTTTGTTATGTTAATTAGGTGGCTTTCTGAAAACTCCCAGGGATGGGGAATGTCTAGAGGAGAACCAACCATGTGATTACAAGGTTGGAACTTTCAGTCCTATCCCAAACCTCCAGGAAGGTAAGAGCAACTGGAAATAGCATTCAATCATCTATAGTCAATGATTTAATCAATCGTGCCTATATAAAAAGCCCCATAAAAATCCAAAAGGATAGGGTTCAGAGAGAGTCCCAACTGGTGAACACATGGAGATTCATGAAGCCAGGCACACTCAGAGAGTAAGGAAACTCTGTGCCCTTCTCCCTTACCTTGCACTATGTTTATTTTCCAACTGGCTGTTGCCGAGTTACATATCCTTTTAAAATCTACTGTTAATCCAATAAAATGTTTCTCTGAGTTCTGAGAGTCATTCTACCAAATTAACTGAACCCAAAGAGGGGACTGTTAACCCCCTTACCACTGGTCATTCAGAAGCACAGGTGATATACCCTGGAATTGCAACTGGCATCTGAAGTGGGGAGTTAGGGGGAGGGAGTAGCCTCGTAGGACTGACTGAGTCCTGAACCTGTGGAATCTCATACTCTCTCTGGGTAGATGGTGTCAGTCCTGACAACTGAGCTGCACTGTAGGATACCCAGATGGTGCGTGACAGTCTGGGAAATCCCCTCTCACACAGTGGAGTTGGGATCAGAATCTTTTTAGGCAATTTTACAGAAGGTGCAGCAAGAGGTCAGTCTGGAGGCAAGAAAGTCAGTTAGAAAACTACTTCCATTTCCAGGTAAGAAACAACAGAGGCCCAAACTAAAGACGAGGCATGAGGTCAGGAGAGAAGTAGACAATGAATTTAAAGTATAATTATGAAAGAGAATGAACTAGGAGAAGAAAGCTAAGATCACCTCTACGCTTCTGTTCCCTCTACAATCAGGGAACTTCTGCCTTACTAGGAATATCAGAGCAATAATAATAGCCCAAATGTTCACTAATGATAGTTATTTAATACCTGCCAAAAGAATAGTTTAGAAATTATGCTTTTCAAGGTAACAGAGAAAACATGGAAGTAACAGAGCTATATCAAGGCTCCTCCTGATCCAAAATGTACCCAGGCCAACACTATTAATTTTTTTGAAAATATAAAAAGCTTCTCTGCCTGGTAGATGATCATAAAAATAATTGATCTTAGAGTTGCAAAGAAATTTAAAATCCAAGAACAGTCACTCCCCAAATGTTTCATTTCCTTCTACAACACCCCTACCAAATAGTCACCCAATATAGGTCTGTGCTCTCCTAGTCAAAGGGAGCATGCTACCCTCCATACAGCAATGGCTGAAGAGTGAACCCTAGTTCTAAACATAGATGCAAAATTTAATGGCTGAAAGGATAATTAAGAATGGGATTTTAATAAAATTTCAAATTACTTCCTACATTATTTATTGTGAAGGGGACAACTGTACAGTGGAAAACCTGGTTAAGAGATTAGAGTTAACCTAATTAAGAGATTAGAGTTAACATCACCAGTAATGGGACTCATGGACATCAAGTGCACCATGAAGAAGCGATTTCAGTGGTGTTCCCATAAGGTCATATGATATTACATAAGAACAGTAAAATATGTGTAAGCCCAGGTTACTTGAAGAGTACAGGGGCTACTCATTAAAATGACATAGCTCAGATTAAAATGTTTTAGGAGAACCTTTTTTAAATTACCTATTCCACTTATTTTGATACTTCAGTTATCCAGACTACTACTGATTAAATGTTCTTAATTGTTTCACATGAATTTCTTCTCCTGGCCTCTGTTTCTGCAGTATTCACCCTATCGAGATCTATACACTACTATAACAGTACCACCTTATTTGGGTACCCTACACCAAGAATGTTAAAGAGTTGAAATGCTCCAGACAGCATTTCACCCATGACCCAGGCTAACTCCACTTTAATCATAACATTCCCGCAGCTATGTTTTAATGCATTAAGTGTATTTGTGTATAATATTTCTGTAATGTATGAATATATATAATAATATGACTATACACATACTTATGTAATTTTTACTATCTGATTTTCACCATCCTCTTACTAAGAATTCTGCCTGCCAAAGTGAAGAAAAGTACTTGTAACAATGAAAGGAAGTGCTTGAATAGTAAAATGCTATTAAAAATCCATGTGTCAATGAAGTCATTTACCAAATAACTGTACATCACACAATACCATACTAGAAAACCATTAAAGAGAATTAATTAATTTTATTAGTAGAGTAATGCAAAGATGCCAAGATATAGCATTAAGGGGGGGAAAGTACTATATGTGTCATAAAATTCCTTTTCTGTTTAAAAAATAAGCCTTAAAGAAGTTACATTGAAGCATAGACAACAATTACATTTGGATGTAGATCTACAAAGTCTTTACAGTTCTTAAAAGCATTTCCATAACATTTGAATTTTCCCAGTAAATATCATTTTCTGAGTAGAAAAAAAATGAAGATAAGAAGACCTAAATGAAAGTGGTGAAATTACATGTAATGACTTGCAACATATATCAGGACACTACTTTAAAAGAAAGTATGCAATAAATACTCATATGTATTTTTAATAACAAAGCTACTTTTATTTCCCAAATAGAATCCCACACTGAAGCCTATATAGAAAGCTGATTTAAAAACTAAAACTGAAAACTAAAGTTGATTGGGGAAGGTGGGTTCTACACTCAGCCAGCCACTTTTTGACCTCCCACTATTTGCATGTCCAAACAGGTGAGGCAATCAGAAGATATGTGAAGAATTCTGCAACAAGTAAACCAAGCAAGAGGTTCCTTATGGTTAAAGGAGCTAAGCCAAAGTATACATGGGTACACCTTACTTTCACCACTCCTCCATAAATGAGAGAACTGTATCCATATAAAACAAGCCTGAAACACCTATCTCACCAGCACCCCCAATTGCCACCCAGATGGCCATAAAAGCACATCATTAGCAGATCGAAATGTCCCCTCTTGGAACTAGAGTGCATCCCTATTGAAAACCAGAAGGATGTAAGTTTCCTGTCAAGTGCTAGTCACATACATGATAACCGCCTTCATTTTAAAGGGTTCCAGAAATTCTAGAGTAATAGGCTGAAGATTTTAAAATATAAACCTGCAAAAGCACTGTTACAGCCCACCACCCACAGACTCTTTTGTATAAATGGCAGCCACCCCCCACATCTAGCCCTTGGCTTGGCCTCTGGGCCTCAGTGTCCCTTCCATGGTGCTTGGATTCGACCACTCTCTTACCTTGGACTTTGCATGCCAAGTGAAGTGCAGGAAATTTGTCTCACTGGGTACTAACAAGTTAAAGGATAGAGCATAGTGACTGATAAGGTCATTTCTCACATAATAAAGTTCTGCATCAAGACCTAGGAAAAAAATAGGGAAAAAAAGAATTAAACATCTAAAATACTCTCAACATCATTAACCATCAGTATTCAAATACTAAAAAAGTGAAGATAATATTGATGTACACATCTGCATCACAGACATCCCTCATATATGCTACCTTATACAGACACTGGGTTTTATCATCACCAACAAAGATAAAGAGCTGGAACTCAACATCCAAGTAGCTAACCAGCTAAACTCAACAGTGCTAAAACCAGAAGTCTGCTAGTCCCTCTCTTCTGAGGATTGTGTCTCTTTTCCTTTTGGACACAGTACTTCTTAAGAGTAAAACCATAAATAAAAGCTACTTCTCCCCCCAAAATTAATAAGAATTTATGAAGAGATACTCAAAATAGAAGGGAGAAAAGGACCTCTGTGAAAACATAAGTGTGAGCCAATGCCTCAAGCTCCTGGCCAGGGAAGACACCTGTTTCCTGCCTCCCCACCCTGGCTGCTCTGACACTCTTTACCAGGGTATACTCTCCCCAGCTGTCACACACACACACACACACACACACACACACACACACACACACACACACACGTCACCTTCCCCACAAGGTGGAAAACACCAAATTTCTCTTCACATTTTCAGGACAGTTCTCTTTACAGTAAACATTTGTTAAACAACAGGTTAGTGGTGCAGATAAAACACCGTAACTGCAGTACTTGAGAAATGCTATAGAAGTAACTCCCAAATTTTACTCACTCTCGTATGACCTTCTGGAAGAGGACCACACCCAACTTCTAACACACACTACCTCCTCCAAATCCTACCTTTGTATACGCCTTCATCCTATCTGCATGTAACATTTTTCTTTAAAATTGCTTCAATTTTCGAAAACAAGAATTTACAGGCAAAATCTAACTATCCTGACTAGAAAATCAATAATTACTGTGAAAAAATTCAAGGTGATCAAAAAATTCAATTAAAAGGAAAACAAAACAGTATTACTAGATTCTAGTTAAACAGTTGTACCTACCAAGGCAGTGAGCTTCAGCCTAGCTCACTGTTTACAAAAAGGAAGGGCTTGTCAGCCAATTTTGAGAGTTTCAAACAGAGGCTTTCTCTATGATAACCCTAAATGAATTGAAAGAAAAAAGGCTGCTATACTTTTATCTAAAGTTGTGTCCAGGTATCTCTTTAGTAACAGAGGGTATATGTGTATGTGTGTGTGCAATATCCCACACATGAGAGAAAAGGTACAGGGGAGACCAACTGAAGTATAAATTTCATATTTACTGAGCCTGTACCATGGATCTGAAACCTTGTGGTATGTTGAGATTAGGGAATATGGGAATATTATACCTCCTAAGAAGTGAGACATAGAACAAATGACTGCTACCAGCATTTTGCCTATAAAATCAATCTTCTCATTTCTGAACTTAATTGATAAAATTATTAATTCATTAATGAGACTTGAGGCTTATCTAGAGGAGAGCTACTGCACTGGCTGGGTAGCACTGTTTTATTTATCCCACAAAGGTACCAAGTGGAATGAGAGAAAAATAAGAGGTTTTCTTCAAAAGACTTTCCCTGCTGGAAAGGCAATTGCTAGCTTTGTATTTTAGAAAATAGTCAAAGAAAACACTTCATAATTCATTTTCTAAGGCCTGCATTATACTAATATTAAAACTTGGTGAAATATTGTAGAAAATTAGATTGACATCCCTCAAAAGCATGGGCACATTCCCCAGAAAACATCAGCAAATGGAGTTTGGCAATATATTAAAAGAATATTATATCACGACCAACTATATATGACAAGTTAGCTTTAAAAAAAAAATATAACTCAACATATCAGGAAAAAAAAAAGATTAAAATCCAGAACATCTCAAAAGACGCAGAAAAAGACAGTTGGTAAAATACAAAGCCTAAAATCATCAGAAAAACTGCCAGAAAACTAGGAATAGACAGAAATTTCCTCAGCCTAGTAAAACTCTACACAAAACTCTACATCTAACATACTCAATGGTAAATTATTAAATTATTCTTGTGATCAGAAACAAGTCAAAGGTGTCCATTTCCACTTCTATTCAACTTCTACTTGAGGTTCTAACTAATGTATTAAGACTAGTCAGAAAGAGTAAGGGCTGCAAAAATAGATGACTTGATAAAAGAAGATGTGGTATATATACACAATGGAATACTATTTAGCAATCAAAAAAGATAAACTCAAGCCATTCGCAGCAAAGTGGATGGAGCTAGAAGGAATTATGCTCAGTGAAATAAGTCAGAAGGAAAAAGAAAAATATTGGATGGTTTCGCTTATAGAAAGAATATAGGGGAACCAAATAAGACATCAGTGTAAAAAAAAATAACAACAATACAAAACACAACAAAACAAAAACAGACAATTATAAATCGGAGACATCCTGCAGGGGAGAAGGAGGGAGAGGAATTAGAGGGAGAGAGAGAGGAGCACAGGGGACTGTGGTGATGGTGCACAGGTGCATCGGTGAAGGAAATTCTATGGGAACTACACTTGGTGGGGGGAGCAAAAATATTGTTTAAAAATGAACAATGAGGGGGCCTCCCTGGTGGCACAAGGGGTTAAGACGCAACCTATGAAGCTGTCCGCAGCCTCTACAGCACGAGTTCGACTCCTTGGCCGGCTAGGGAGCAACCCACATGGCGCAGGAGACCTCTCCTAACTCGCCCGCTGCTCCCCTTAGCAGTGTATTTCAATCAATCTGCCTGTTCTGTTCCCCACTCTGTCTCTGGTGAATCCTGTTACCCCCTGCATCTCTGGCCTGTATCCCAGCTCTTGTATGCATAAATAAATAAATCTTTAAAAAAATAAAATTAATTAAATCTGCAAATATAAAGCTAATAGAATTTCAACAAGGGCACTGAGGCAATTCAATTAAAGTGATACTAACACAACTGGGTAAAGGTATGTCTGGAAAAATCCTGATCTCTATATTATGTATCATACAAAACCTGATATGAGATATACCTAAATATAAAAGCTAAACTATAAAGCTTCTAGAAGAAAATATAGGTGAATAACTTCATAACCTGGAGTTAAGAAAGTTTTCTTAGATCATACAAAACATGAACCAAAGGGGAAAAAAATTGATAAATTGGTTGTCATCAAAATTAAAAGCTACTTCTCAAAAGACTTGTTGAGAAAATGAAATTTACATTCACAACTTGGAGAAAGTATACATAATACATCTGTTTTTAAAAAGGGCTTATTTCTAGAAAATATAAAGATCTATAAGCCAAAAAATACAGTCCAATTAAGTAAAATGGGTACAAAGGTGAACATGTTTCATAAGATATATAAATGGACAATAAGTGTGAAGAAAAAGTGTAGAAATACATGGTTTTTTAAAGATTTATTTTTATTTATGCATACAAGAACTAGGGTGTAGGCCAGAGTTGTGGAGGGTGAGAGGATTCACCAGAGACAGAGTGGGGAATAGGACAGGTGGAGAGACTGAAATACACTGCTAAGGGAAGGAATGGGCAAGACAGAAGAGGTCTGCCTTGCCATGTGGGTTAGCTCCCTGGCTGGAGATTGAACTCATGCTGCAGTGGCTGCCGACAGCTTGATAATGCTGACTTTTTCCCCTGCGCCACCAGGAAGGCCCCTGGGGAAATACATATAAAAACCACCAGGAGATACCATTTCCACCCAAGAGAATAACTAAATGCTGGCAAGTATGCCAAACAGTTGCAACTTTGCACATTGCTGAGAGTGTAAAAATGTTCAACCACTTTGGAAAATTCACACTTTCTTATAAAGTTAAGCTCACATTTACTTTGTGACCTAATTCCACTCCTCAGTAATTATCCAAAAGAAATGAAAACCTATGTCTACAAAATAATCTTGTACTCGAATGTTGATAGCACTTTTATTCATAATAGTCAAAACTGGAAACAACACAAATGTCCATCAACAGATAAATAGATATCCAATTGTGTATATTCAGACAATGGAATACTACTCAGCAATAATAAATAAACCACTACTGAGAATTTGTAACAATAGGGATAAATCTCAGAGAAGATATAAGTGAGAGAGAGGCTAGATGCAAGAGTACATACTACCTAATTCTACTTATATAAAATTCTAGAATAGGAAGAACTGATCAATAGTGATAGAAATCCAAGCAGTGCGGTCACCTGGCAGGGAGGGCAGGAAGGGTAGTAGGGAGATTGGTGAACTGATAGCAAAGGGGCCCCTGGAAAGTCCCTGGTGTGATGGAGATGTTCTATTTAACTGGGGTGGCAGTTACACAGGTGTAAGCACTTTTTAAAACTCAATCAAGTGTGCATTTAAAATCCATGCATTTTATTATAAAGTTTACCTACAATTTTTAACATGTTAAAAAAGAGTTAACAATTTTTACCTCTTTTCTAATTTCAAAAAGGTTCCATACCATAGGATGTTATTAGCACTAACATAAAAACAACTCCTGAGTTTAAACCTAATATCTGTCACAAGGAAATAAAGAACTTTGTTCCTAACAAGTCATGCTGTTACTATTATTAGCAATAATGCAAATGCTTAAGTTTTCCAGACAGAGTCAGGAGTATCAAGAACATCTAGAGGTTCTGTAAATTCAACTCCCTATAAAGTTAGATGAAAAAGAGCTGTGAGCAGAAAAGAAATGAAGAAGGAAAGTACGTTCTCAAGCCATATATGCCGTCACTTAATTTGTGGTTTTAGTCTTACTAGAAATTCACCCAGGGCTCCCTCCTCAGAGGAGTACCACCAGCCTTTGCCTGGTTTCTGAACCACAGCAAGCCAAGCTGCACATCCCCTTGTGCCTCTTTAATGACAGCCCCATTGGCTTAGAAAGTTACTTCCATCTGCACTGTCTCAAGCCCATTCAGGCTGTAATTTCCATACTGTTATGTTTTAATATTTTTAACTCTCTGAAGCAGGCTCAGCCATGTTCAGTGGTTTGACTATACTGTCCAAGTTTTCTTACATGGTGCCAGTAATGCCTTTGTTGTTTGGAC